AGCTGGAGGCCCGGGTTCGGGAGCTGGAGAACGAGCTGGAGGCTGAGCAAAAGCGCAATGCAGAGTCAGTGAAGGGCATGAGGAAGAGCGAGCGGCGCATCAAGGAGCTCACCTACCAGGTTCGGCAGGGCAGACCAGGTCGCAGCAATGGCTTTACTAGCCCCACCTCTGGGCTCAGAGAGGGCCCTGCTGGGCTGGGCCATCGCTCATTAGTGGCAGGCACCCTTGTCACCAGCACCTTTAGATGCTCTCTGCAGCTTCTCCGACAGGTTCTGGAAGCGGTTCCGCTTGAGCGCAGGAATTTATGCAATAAATGGAGACTCCTACTTCCCCAAAACGATTTCACTCAACATTTCCCCAGGTTTTTTAGTACTTCAGAGTACTACAATGAAAGCTTCAGATTAATCCAAAGAATCCAGCCAGACAGAAAAAGACGCCACATGACACTTTAGGAACAAGAGTCAGTCCATGGTAGAAAACAGGTCTTCTGTGGAACTACTGGGACCACTAAGGGAGAGCCAGGGTCCTTGTGTGCCACCTCAGAGTGTCTGAGAACTCCATCAGCACAGCTGACACTGGCCATTGACCACTCTCAATTTCTGGGAAGAGGATGCTAAGGAGATGGGTAAATTGGTCCATATAAGAAGGGGATACAAGAGGCATAGGGTAAAGATTGCAGACCTATTTGGGCAAAAGTGCAGTGGCATCCTAGAGCATCAAATGACACAGAGACAGGAATGACCAAGGGTCATTTGAGCCACTGACCTTGCTGTCCAAATTCTGGCTCAGGAGAACGTTTCAGAATATTAGGCTCTGTTAATTAGAATAATCTAGACAATGATAACACCAACTTTTCTTTTTGCTTTCTTTGCTATTCCTCTTCTGGTCACCTTAGAACCACTGGCCGAAAGTACCCATGTTGCTGCAAGGGGAACTATTGTCACCAGATGGAGGCCAGACAGACACTATGCCTCCATATGACCACATGAAGTTCCCTGTGGCTCTGAGAAACTTACAGCATCCCAACACTCATTCGTTTGTGGGTCCCCAAATAAGATTCCCTTTGACCTACAAAGAGAGACAGCACCCCTTGACAGCCACTGGAGGGAGAAGCAGCTGAGACCTGGGCAGGAGAGTAGAATGAGGGAGGAGGAAATGTTGATCACACTTGCTCCTCTCCCCAAAAACTGGCTTTTCCCTCCCACCCACCTTCAGACAGAGGAGGACAAGAAGAACCTGATGCGACTGCAGGACCTGGTGGACAAGCTGCAGCTGAAGGTGAAGGCGTACAAGCGCCAGGCTGAGGAGGCGGTGAGACGATCGTTTTCTCTCCTTCTTTTATCAACACACCTACTAGTGAGAGCCAGAGAGTATCTGCCACAGTGGGGCCTAGACAAGGGTCTGCTCTAACCTTCAGCTCACACATTTATTCTGCATGTCTAGTATAGTCAGAGTTGCATCTAGTACCCCTGCATCTGCCCACTGGCTGCTTACAGTCCACATACTGGGAGACCAGATGAGGAAGTCAGGACAGAACAGTGGCAGGTGCTGCTGAGGACAGGAGAGGGCCGAGAGTTAGACTGGAAAGAAACCTAACTAGACACAGAGCAAAGGAGAAGCCATCTTGGTGGACAGAAACGTTTGGGTGTGGTGTGGATGAGCACAGCTGTGCAGAGAACCCCCAAGTCTGCAGGCATCTGCCTGAGGCACAGCTGGAACAGATGCAGGGAATCTGGATTCTGAAGTGGTATGCCAGACAGCATGGGTTCATTCCGGGCAGTGGGTGGCCATGGTGGATCTTAAGCATGGAACAAGTTTGAGGAGGGTACCGAGCAAGACATCCCTGGGAGGGCTGTTGCAGGAAGTGGGTGAGGAGTGGCTTGGGGACAGGGACCATGAGAATCTGAGAGTCCATTCCAGAGTTTTTCTCACCCCATCCTCCCATCCCTTTATCTGCTCATAGGAGGAGCAGGCCAACACCAACCTGTCCAAGTTCCGCAAGGTGCAGCATGAACTGGATGAGGCAGAGGAGAGGGCTGACATCGCCGAGTCCCAGGTCAACAAGCTGCGGGCCAAGAGCCGTGACATTGGTGCCAAGGTGGGTTCCTCCCCTGGGATTGCTAGTCATGCCCCCACCAGGTTGTCCCTGAATGCATGCTGTTCTCTGGACAGTTATATGTGTATGCCACATGCATTTAGACATGTGGAGAAGGCAATATGCACAAGGGTGCCATAGACACCTACACCTGAGAATCCATTCTCACACTCACAGCAGCCCTAGAGCTGCGTTCCAAGCTACAAGCACCCCTATCGTGAGACTTCAAGATCCCTGAGGGTTATCCTCCCCCACCCCTGGACCAAGGGCATCTTCCTAAAGCCACTGACAGCTCTAGGGATTCCTTCCCAGACCAATTTGCCCATTGCCCTCAGAACTCTTCTTCCTTCCTCCGCAGAAAATGCACGATGAAGAATGACGCCGCCTGCAGGCCCTTGCTGTTGCTAGCCCACAATAAACACAAATACCTGACTCTACCTGTTCCCTCTGTCCTTTCTACCAGCTGCCCATCTGAGCTAGGGACTTTGGTGGCCTAAGAGGAGAGTGGCCACAGCCTCTGTATCAGCGCTGTGGGTTCAAAAGCACCCCATATCTGTGGAGGAAGAGACCAAAAGATAAGGGAGGTGCCCTGTCCCAGGCAGCACAGCTACAGACCCTGCTCTGCATGGTCAATTGCACAAGTAAAGAAAATGGGAGACACAAAAGCCAGGTGCCATGACCCAAGCCTAGAGTCTCGGCAGGACATCAGAGGTGGAAGCAAGAGGCAGCCTCAGCTAGAAAGCAATGTGAGACCCTGCCTCTAAAACAACAGAACAACAACCCCTTAGAGGCGTAGAAAGAACAAAGGCACTGAACGGCAAGCCGACTCTAGACACTGGGGCATGGAAATTTGGTGTGGAGGTAGAACTGCCTCCAACCACTCCACCTCCAAGCTGGCAGAAACTAAAGTTGTCCTGGGCCATGTGTTCTTTCTAAAACGAACTTCCCACTTATGTCAAAAGGGCCTCCACACTGCTGAGGACTCAGGAAACAGCTGAGACCCCACTCTCCTTGGCTCTGTAGACGGAGCCCACAGGGCACATATTCCCACCCCCAGTATCAGTCCTAGGCCCTGTCAATCAGGCTTCATCAGGAGGACATTCCAGGATTCGAGTACCAGATAATGCTGAGCCAAAATCAGTGTGGGGTATGGACCAAGCAGGGACAGTCCTCATTTAGTATCCCTTCACACAGACAGACATAGGTGCATGTACAGACCCACAGTTGGATGTAAATCCAACCACCCCCTTCCTCCACACACTCTAAGCTCCTTGGAGGACTCGACACTCAGCCACTTGGGGGATAGAGCTGAGATCTGCTGGAAAGCAAACCCGAGCCCTCTTGTGAGAACTCAGACAAGGTTCTCCAGACTCCTTTGCATCTTTTCACCTATATGCTTCTTCCCACCTCCCTAGCCCAGCCTTTCCATCTCTCCTCTGAGACTATGCCCATCCTACATCCATCCTCCTGACCATGGCAGTCAGCTAGAATCAAGTGTAGACTATGCAGAAAGCCAGAGAACCCTGAGTAGAGTCCAGGGAAACCCAGAGTCCAGTCAGCTCCTTCCCTAGAGCAGCTGCCAGATACCAGAACATAAAGATAGAAAGACAGGAAACAGGAGACAGGGAAAACCTACTCGAGAGAAGTATGGTCATCAGAGAGAAGCATGGCTACCCCCAGGCTCAAGACCCTGGAACAGACAGCGTTTGAGGCCACAGCCCACAACCAAAAGGCCTAGCCTAGAGGAAAAAGGGCATTTCAGCAAAAGAACAAAGCATTGAAGAGAGGGAGCAAGAGGTCAGCTGGAATGGAACCTCTCATATGGACCGTGATGGGTTCCTCCAGCTGGGCAGAGAAGTACTGTCTAACCTAGACTATCATGGACCAGGCAGTTCCTCCTTTCCAAGCTAATGTGTCCTTTCAGGTCCAACTGTTACCTCTAAATCTCCGGTGCCAAGCATAGGCTCTGCAGACAGAAAAGACTCGGGAAATGTGTTCAGAGGAAGTGGCAAGCCGGGCAAGTGGGTCCACTGGCCAAGGGATGGGCCCGTGTTTTCAGATCCTCAAAAAAACTCAATACAGTATCCAGTTCCCTTTCAGTGTCAAGATGTTCTAGACCCAGCTCTGCTACAAATACAGAGGTCACTTTCCCCTAACTAAGCCCCCGTTTCCTCTTATATAGAAGGAGGGCATGTGACCAGCTCATATCTAAGACTTTTTCTTTCAGGTGCTGGTATTTTAGGAATTTCTCCTAAGACTCTTGGCTGTCCTCTAACCCTATGGTCTGCCCGCCCAGACCTCACCACACCACAAGGGGGAGCTCTACACAAACCCCAGAAAAGGCCCTTATACCCCCCCATGCCTAACAGGTGTGCTGGGCTGTTAGCATCAGGAAATTCTAGACAACATCTCACTCCCAAGCAGCCTGGCCCATTGCATTTTGGCACCTTCCTCTGACAGGCTGAGGTATAAAGTTTTGCCTTTGACAGATGACTTCAGTTTCTTCAATCTAACCCTTACTTCTTCACCCCACAGAGGGATCTTGGCTGTCTGGATTACTCTTTCCTATAGATCATGAATAACTGTTTGGCTTCCTTATTCTGTATGCTTTTCAAGGAGGAAGAAGAAGACCCACCACTAGGATTTGATTTTTTTTAATTTGGAAATGACTTGGAGGCACAGCCACCTACCCCGACCCCCAGAACTTCGCCATCTTTCATGGGTCCCCTGGGACTTCTCAAGCACGCATATCTATAGATGTGGAATAGATGATGGCACTTGGGTGGTTCAGAGAATCCAAAGATGACAAATTTGGGCTCTGTGGTTCCTGTGTCTGGCTGTGGGAGCCAGGTAACCCTGGAATCACTGTTGGTCTCCTGTGGAAATGTAGCCAGGCAGGGAAACCATGTATGACTGAAATATCTGTGGCAGAGGTAGGGGCATCTCCTCTCTCAGGGCATAAATACTCACCCTCGGTGGTCCTGGTCATCAACTCAGTTCGGTAGATCTTGAATGCATCATAGGCAAAGACAGAAACCAAGATGATGCCAAAAACCTGTGCGGGGGGGGGGGGGGGGGGGGGGGGGGGGGGGAGAGGAACGGTGGTGCCACAACAGAGGCTGTCAGACTAGGAAAGCAGGACTGGAAATAACTGGGGGATGAGGTATGAGCAGATGTAGACTTTGGTTTGGACACAGGAAGTGTCCCAATATCCCAGCCACAAGCCCTGGGGGTTGGAGATCACGGCAGGGATGGACTCACAAATGCAGCAATGGCAGCTCCCTCCCTCGAGGTCACAGCAGCAAAGGAGACCACCAGGAAGATGATGATGGCACTGACACAGCGGAGGAAGTCCTGGGGAGCCAGAGGCAATGGGGTGTGGGGTCGTTACCTGTTACCCAGAGGTTCCCAAGTTTCAGCTTCCCCAGTCTGATCCCCAGAGGCTGAATTCCTTCCCAGGGATGCTCCCGGACACTGTGAAATTCTTTCAAGAGAGTGAGCTCACAACACTACCCAAAGGATGGGAGCAGATAAATCTAGACCAGAGGGGACACCAGTGAGCACAGGCAAATGGAGCTGGACTGAGCTAGGCCTTTGGTGTGTGGGACAGCAGGCCCATGGTCTGTATGTCCCTTTGACAGGGGCACTCTGATGGGTCAAAGTTCTCTTTTGAGCTTAGGACACAACATGAGTCAACCCACAGCTTGGTTGTGGAAATGAAGGGGGGCTATGAGACAACAGGAAAATCGGGCAATCAGAGAGAAGAGCCCAGGATGGAGTAGGAGAGGCAGGGTTCCTCACCAGACAAGGCCAGTTAAGCCTATCGAAACGCTGGTAGTACTGGGTGGCATAGAGGAAGAGGAAGGCGAGCGTGATAAAGAACTCCAGCAGCGCTGCAGCCATGTAGGCAGAGACGGAGGCCGTGAAGCAGATGAAGATGATGAAGGTCAGAGCCTGTGGGACCAAGGATGAGGCGCTTTCTGAGGAGACCCATGCACAGATCAGGTCACAGTAGTCGGGAGCCCCCAGCCTTACCCAGAAGGAAGAGTTCTCAGTGAAAACATGGAAGTGTCCCATCCCTGGTGACAAGAACCATCAAGGGCATCTCCATGATACCACTCCTGCTATCCCAGGAATCCCAGCAACTCTGGTTGTTTGGTCAGTCCGCATATCCCCAGGAGAATTCCCTGGGACACAGAATACTGGGCACACAAGCAAGCCTCTAGCACTTCTGTCCCCCAAAGCTACTCCAGACTGTTAAAACCCAGTTGGCAAGACTCAGAGCCTTTGATTCCATGCTGAGAGAGACTTAGATGGCAGGAGCCTGCTGCACATGGGATGGCAGTCAGGAAAGGCCCTGCGTTAGCACCATAACCTTGCTCAGCAACCAGGGAAAGCCTGAGAGGGGATGGTCACGGGCCACAGCAGGCTGGTAAAGCATGGCTGCAGAAACTCTACTGTTTGGGATGCTTAAACTTAGGCATGCCAAGAAGCAGCCCTCCTAGAATCTGGAGGAAGACAGACGAACCTCCTTCCCTGCCATCCTCTGCCCACCCCTGACCCAAGTCTCACTCCCTCGGGATCCTGGAAAGTTATCTTTCCGTCTAACTTTAGTAGTCTTGCAGCAAATGATACATGCTGAAACTATGCCAAGAGAGATGCAGCCAGGAAGCTAGGAGTTGTGGGAGGTGCACCTGGGAGTGGAAGGGCAGAAACCTGGGAGGGGCTCGTGAAGGGTGAGCAGAGGAGGCCAGCAGAGGTCTGCACCAGGGAGCTGGGATGGGAGAGATGGAGGCGCCAGGTTGGGGAGGCGGCTGTTACCAGCTCAGTTTCCAGCAGGATGCCTTTGAGGGAAGACAGGAAGGTCTTGTCCACACCGAGGCCCTGGAGCCCTGAAGCTGCTCCTTCCTCTGGGGGCCGCTCCCGGCGATCCCAAGCACTGAACATGTCTTGAGGTTCACAGGGCACAGACTCTCCTTCACCAGACTCCCAACAGCCCAGGAAAGGAAACAGCAATCTGGTTAGAGGAGCAGACAGGAGGAAGAAAGTGCCTCAAGAGCCTGAAAGTAAAGCTGGGGCCTGCTGTGGGACTCTGGGAGAAGGCAGGACCCAGGGGAGGCTTGCCCAGATGGGCTTCACCCAGCTGCCCAGAGTGACTCTGCTCTTGCCTGCAGGGCCCCTAGGAGGCATGGGGAGGGGTGAGGGAGAGGTGGTTAACCCTCCTCTTCCTCTAGCCTAACCCAAGCTGGAGGAGGAAAGAGGGAAAAGGGAGAGAAAGAGATGGGAAAGAAACCAGAGGGGGTGGGGGTGGGGGGTGAGAGACAGAGGCAGAGCAAGGAGTTCCTCAGTAAGCAAAGCCCGAAGACATTTACGCCCCCTCCCATAACCTTAGCCCTCTTCCTTGGCTGGGCCTTTCTCTCTTTTCCTTTAAGGGAGGTGGGAACTGGAGCCCAGCCCAGCCAGTACACTGCTGGACCAAGCTGCAACAGTAAGGACCAAAGAACAAGGGAGGATTGTTGGGGAGACAAGGGGGCGCTGTGCGCCTATTGCACTGCCTCAATGGGCTTCTGTCTCTCCCCCAGTTGAGCTGTCTGACCCCCACCCTTATGTTCAGGATGGCCAGGGGAGGGGATGGATGCTTGCAATGGACACCCGGAAGAGTGGCAGAACAGAGAAAGTGCTAAAAGAAGAGAAAGGACCCATTTGGAGACTACAGAAGGTTCAGGTACCATGGATGCTAAAGAGAGGAGACCATTTTTAAATACAGATATTTATTTGGATAAATATTTTCACGTTCAACAACAGCTTTCTTCTCCTCAGAATTACCCACGTCAAAGTAATTACGCCTGGCTGCCTACAGAGTTGGTGTTCACAAGCAAACAAAATGAAGGGCAAAGGAAATATGGAGAAAGTGCCTGTGCTGGGCGGGGAATTCAGAGGGAAGGAAGAGCCAGTAGTGTGGCTTCCAGGGATCAGCAGGCCTTTGGAGACCTTTTTTGAGAGGGAATGTCACAACAGCATCTTCAACAGCCACAAACTGAAACTGCTTCTTCCCAAAAGTTCTTTCAAAAAGTGCAAAAGTCAGGGTTTCTTCCAAGTTCTCCGTCTTGTCCGGGGACTCTGATGCTTCAAGTAGGACTCTGGAGGACTTGAGCATTCAGGTGCCCTGGCCAGTGCGGCAAGGTGTCAGCCTCAGGAAGGTGGCAAGTGTGACTAAGACGACTTTAGAAGAGGCCGCACACAAACACAAGCAAAGGAGACAGGGTAGAGCCTGCGCTCCAGGCAGTAGCCATGATGACAACCTTGCTGTCCGTGGCATGGCCGCCGGTAGAAGACCGTCTGGTTGTGGTAGAGTGGTACTGAGTTGCCCATTAGGCCCATGTGGGAGCCCCTCTGTAAGCTGGCACAGTGTGTACACAGACATCGCGCATGGTACAGATCCTGGGGGACCCGGTTCAAGTCCCTGTCCAACCTGTGGGGACAAAGCTGATCAGTTCTGAAGGAACAGGCCAGAAGCAAGTGGCAGGTGGGGTCGAGAGAAGGGAAGAAATGGTGTGGTTGTGGACTCAACTTCTTAAATCTGTTCTGGCACGCAATACGGTGTCACTTTGAATGCCATCCCCCTCCTCTCTGAGATTTATTTCCTGCAACTATAGTGTAGGTAGGGGACAAAACAGTGGCTTTCCTAGTGGCCCTGAATGCCAGGCCATAGCCATAGTAACTTCTTTTAGAAGCAGAGGAAGGGGAGTAGCCTCCTGCCGGCCTCCACCAGCCCAGCCCTGCATCTGTCTGATAGGCATGAGGCTTCCTAGTAAGGTACTATAGAAGTTTTGTGGGGCTTTTACAATTACAATTATTACAATACTAAAAACTGGTGTGAGACCACTATGGTGGCACATGCCTGTAATACTGGTACTTGAGAAGCTGAGGCCCAAGAGTGCCATGAGTTTGAAGCTAGCCTGTGCCACATAGAGGATTCTAGTCCAGCAGGGTTACTGAATGAGACCCTATGTCACAAAACAAGCAAACAAAAACCCCAGCTGCCTGAACGCCAAGCATAAAAGGATACATAACAAACACTGGCCATCTCCTTTCACTGGTCTCACTCCCCAGGGAGAGCTGCTTCATGTCCACCCTTCCAGACACTGTTCAAGCATATATTATAAGCACATTTAGGACGTGGACAAGAATTTTTTGTCTATTCAGAAAAGATTTGTGGCAGCTAAAAGCAAAACCAGACCAAAACAAAACAATAATAATAATAAACCCAACTACTGAAAAGAGGATACTAAAAATATTGTGTCCAGTAACCCAGCAGGAAGCCCCAATATGTCAGAACCATTTTCCATACAAGCCCTGGGAAATTGGGGTCCAGTTACTGCAAGCGTTACCCTTGGGAGGCAGGGGGCTGGAGAGATGGCTCAGCAATTAAGAACACTGACTGTTCTTCCAGAGGACCTGGGTTCAATTCCCAGCGCCCACATGGCAGCTAACAACTTTCTGTAACTCCAAGATCAGACAAACACGCAGGCAAAACATGCATCAGGGTACACAAAATAAAAATAAATTAATTTAAAAAATACCCTGTTTGTTTGTTTTTAAAGTTTTGCAATCAAAGTTTGGGGACAACTAATGGTCCCTTCTTGTAGATTTCTTGCCAACTTTAATGGGTGGAGATCACTAGGAAGGGGTGGGGCTGTGTAGTCTTTCCCAAATTCACTTAACACAATCACTTTTTTCTGAGAGACAGCTTGTGGGACAAGTGTTGTACAGAGCATACATCGGAGAAGGTCTGATAAGTGGTTATTAGGGTTCATTGCCTCTCAGAAAAGAGGATGGGCTGAGTACCCCCACCACCATCTGCTACACAAACAGATTTTCCAGACAGCCTCTGAGACCACTCCAAAGTATTAGGAGCTGGTGTCCCAGCTGACCAGCTCCCTATACCGGGGAACATCTCCACGCCCCTCAAAGGCCAGGCTAGGCAACTGAGACATGTGGGGAGTATGAGCACAGAACCCTGGGAAAACACAGAACTGCAGGAATGTGTTTAGGACCAAGACCCTAATTAGTAATACTTGGCTTCTCTGTCCTGATTTCACATCATGGCACAAACAGAGAATTATAATACTTACGTGACAAACTGTGTAAAAGACTAAGAGAACCATGATTTTGATTAAAGAAAACAAGCCCAGGGATCTAGCCACACACTAGCCCTACCTGCATCTGGCATAGCGGTGCTTTGTGTCTGCATCACATATTACTGCTTGATACTTTAGTTGGAAAAATATGAGTTATGGTACAGACCAAACAAGAAACAGAATCAACATAGATACAGGCTTTGCATAGATTATTTTTTTATCTATATATTAGCCTCTAGAATGTAACCTAGACAAAGGAAAGAAGGAAGGAAGGAAGGAAGGAAGGAAGGAAGGAAGGAAGGAAGGAAGGAAGGAAGGAAGGAAGGAAGGAAGGAAGGAAGGAAGGAAACCGGCCTGAACTTGGAAAACATCACCCAACATAATGCAATGAGAGCCGAGCTGAGGCTCAAATTCAGGCCTGTGTAATTCCCAAATCTTTCCGGTCTGTACAGTTAAAAGAGGCTGGTAGGTCAAACTCTCTATGTCCCTCATCCCTCCCCTGGACATGAATACATTCAGGTGAGGGAATAGTAAACAGACTCACTCATAGCTCCAAGGAGATATGGACCTCCTGTTGAGAGGTCCATCGTTGCTGGCCTTGCAGGAATCTGTGTGGGAGGTGTCTCTCAGAGGTTCTGGGGGAGACACAGATGCAGTGCTCAACTTCGGCAACTCAAGGGAATCTTGTTCTTTGCTGGGACAGCAGCTAGGCCAGTGACTGCAGTCATTGTGGACCTGCGAACTGACGGCGTGTCCCACCATCATAGCCAAGAATGCAGCAACCTGAAAGCAAAGACCAGTGAGAACGCTACTATCAGGTCCCCATCCCATATGAGCCTCCCCTGGCAGCTCCCTGAGACCAGGAACCTGGAGGCTTAGCCCTCCTACACCTTCAATGCCATCCCTGCTCCTTTCCCTTTTGACCTGAACTCTAACAGACATTAGGGCCACTCACCTGGTACATGCCGGACACTGTTCACTGGGCCACAGGTACTACCCTGCCTGACAGGCCTTCTGGAAGTAGGCTGACTGGATCAGTTGAGGTGTCCTGCTTTTATTTTCGGCAAACCTGTTTTGTTTATTCAAATTTATTTCCACTATCTTTTGGAGGGAGTGACCTAAGATTAAAAAAAAAAATCAAAAAAAAAAAAAAAACCCTCCAACAACAACATAAAACCTGGAAGTGTTGCCAAAAGCTGTTTAAATGCTGTTCTCATGGAAGTTGTAATAGCCATCATTATCAGCCTGGCAGCCCATTGGGTAAAGTGTTCCTTGCACTTTCCGGGCGGGGGTCGTAGTATTACATTCTGCAATATTGCCTCTGTCTCTGTGAATTGTCATGATGGGAATTTCCCTGGTAGGTTTGCTACCTCAAATTAAAAAATGTCATCTGGTCTCCCTTCCAGGGGCACTGTTTTTGAGACTTCTGCTACTCCTGCGTGGGATCTGACCTCGAGCTGTCCCTCTTCTTACTAGATGTCCCTATCACCTGTCTTTTTGTTGTTTTTGTTTTTGTTTTCTGAGACAGGGTTTCTCTGTGTAACAGCCCTGGCTGTCCTGGAACTCACTCTGTAGACCAGGCTGGCCTCGAACTCACAGAGATCCTCTGGCCTCTGCCTCCCCAGCTGGGATTAAAGGTGTGTGCCACCATTGCCTGGCTCCCACTACCTGTCTTGATGAACACTCCCCTCCTCTTTATCATTTTGACCTCCATCCCCAGTTTTCTCTGATCCCCCTCTCATTTTTAGGACTCCACCTCTTTTAAGCACTATCATCTGTCAGCATGAGTTCTCCCTCACTGCCCATTACTGCCCCCAATTCCTCTTTGCCCTCTCAGTTTGCTACCCTGTTCCCATCCCTGTCCCTAGATGTTCCCTGACCTTTTCCTGGGCTAAGGATGCAGCCCTCACCAGACAGTGCTACCAGAAGCATATGCAGGAGTTTTTGGTTGGGTGGGCAAGACTGACGGAAAAGCTGTGGGTGACTGTCCACACTGCACAAATGAGAAAGCGGAACATGGAGAAAAGAACACCATGTTGCCTAAGACCCAGCAGGAGGTCTCACTCCTGCTCACAGGACCCCAGGGACACACAGCAAGGACAGTTGTTACTCTCAGGTCACTCAGCCTGTGCACTCTCATCGGGCCCTATTGGCCAAGTGGGAGTATGTATACTTGAGAAAGACAGATTCCAAAGACACAGGGCAGTCAAGATCCAGTTTTCTGGGGAGGACTGTGCACACATTAGCCAGCGTCCATTCTTCCTGCACACCTTTCTCTGAATGCCCAGGGACCTCTGCCCCACCCAACACACTCACACACATTGTCTCTAGAATAATGTGTACTGATTTGCATGTGCTTTCCCTCAGAAAATACTCCGGAAGTAACCAAGGAATCAGAAAGTAAATAAAGTATATATCATAAAGGACCACTCTTTCAGATTCGGTAGAACAAAACAGTCTCAAAAGAGAGGTGTCATGGCAACAGAGGGTATTCTCAAGAGTTGGAAGAAATTGCTTTGGTGACTCTTAGGGGCCTGAAAGAGGGGGAGGCATTGAGGAGAAACCATTGGTGGCCAGGGTTAGGACACTTAGGAAGAGCAATAAGGCCAGGAATACCTTCAGCTGATACCCGTGCTCACCCTTGCTCAAGGCTCCCACCCTTGCCTAGTGCTCCTGGGTACCATCTCCCTGTAGATGCTGCTGGTCTTACTCCTATGCACTTGAGTGTGCCAGACACAGTGCTGAACCCTAGGCACATCATCTTACTCTGTCCTGATAATAAAACTATGACATGAAAACTATAACCCTCGCCAAGCGGTGGTGGTGCACACCTTTAATCCCAGCACTCAGGAGGTAGAGGCAGGTGGATCTCTGTGAGTTCAAGACCAGCCTGGTCTACAAGAGCTAGTTCCAGGTCAGCCTCCAAAGCCACAGAGAAACCCTCGAAACTCCCCCCCCCCAAAAAAAGAAAACTATAACCCTCATATTACAGATGAAGAAAGTGAGACCCAACAACATTTAGTAATCTACCCAAGATTACACAGTTAGAAAGACTCTGAGCTGGTTTTCCATTCTAGCCCTCAATAAGTCCAAACCAAAGCTCCTAGCATGAGTCAATTCTCAGCTAGCTGTGGATGGAAGGGGAGCCCCCACAGTGAATGTGTCCCTGTTCACCTGGACTTGTGCTGGACATGTTTCATTTGCACCTACCCAAGGTACAGGGCATTCCTACCCGCTTTGGCGTTCAGCCCTGCTGGCTGGGATCCATTGTTCCAGCTTCCTGTTTCCCAGCCTTTTGTCTGGCACATGGCCTCAGGTGGCTTGTGGTGTTCCTTAGCAACCCCAAGCCCAGAATAGGGTCCTTTAGCTAGCTAGTATTGCTGTTTCCAAAAGCAGGATTCCTACAGGTCACAACCCTAGGAAGCAGACATTGGCCAGTGAACAAGGGGATGCTCTTAGGACTGAAAATGATCCCAGCTCCTTGCCTCAACTGCTGACACTGCAGAATGGAACTGGCCTAGGTGACTGGGACAATGTTCTTCACAAGAGGCATTTGGGGTCTCTCTCTGCCTCTGTACCTCAGGCCAGAGGAAACCTCTGAAAGGAAGATGGGAGATCCCTCTAAGCACACGGTCTTCCCCAGGAGTGGCTTTCCCCATACCACAATGACCAAGCTGACCCATGAACTTAGTCTCTGAGCCACAGACCCTACCCCACCCTGCTTGGTCAGCCTCGGCCCTTATCTCATTAGTAGCTTTGTGGGACTCTTTAGGGTGACTCCCTGCCATGAGAAACATTTTCCAGAGGGTTTCCTCCTGGGGTGACTAGTTTTGGAATCCCTGAGTCATCTCAGCTTCCAGGGAATCCTTGGGGGTGTGGGGGTGGCAATGGGGAGAATCCTGGAGGCGGGAGCAAAGAAACATTGGACCAAGATCTGACAGTAAGAATACCCACCCAACATGTCCCTACTTGCCTGGGCCTGACCTGACTGCCAAACAGGGCTGGAATTCCTACTCCCGTGCCCCTGAGCACCTGCCAGGAAAGGGCAGGGGAAACGTGATGAGCTACATCTTCTATCCTCGGCTTGGAAAAGCGCTTGGGGCTTGCAGTGTGTTCGAATACAACTACCCAACAGCATGAGGAAACCCCTTACCTGCTGCCTTGGAATTCCAGTCTGCTCTTGACCTTGGATGCTCCTTGTGCACATCCTTCGTCACTGGTAAGAGTAGATGTGGTATAGTGGATGTGTTCCTGGAGGAAAGGGTGACATTGATGTGAGTGACCTTAGAGATGCCAAGAAGATTAGCTGCCCTGGACCTAAGGCCCTAAAACAGTGCAACATCCATGGGATTGAGTTCATTTCCACTCACCTTATAAGAAGCTAGGACACAGGTTGTTAGGACGTTGACATCCTTGTGCACCTGCTGCTTAGCAGGTGCTGCTCTTGACAGTGGGTCATCCCCATCACACTCTTCCAGGGACCTAGCAACGGCCAAGATGGAGACCCCTGGAATAATATTCCCACATTGTAATTTGTAGTGATAATGACCCTGGATACTAATCACTTTTTAAAGATTTATTTTTATTATTCTATTTATCTGTATGTGTGGAGGGGGGAGTATGTGCACATAAATGCAAGTGCCCACAGAGGTCAGAGGTGTGAGATTCCCCTTGGAGCTGGGGATTACAGGCAGTTTTAAGCTACCTGATGTAGGTGCTGGGAATTGAACTCAGGTCCTCTGGAAGAGCAGTATGTGCTCTTGACCACTGAGCCATCTCTCCAGCCCGCTAATAATTATTTTTAATACAATTGTTAACTATAGAACAATTAAGGTCAGGAGACTACCTTCAAGGAGAAGCCAGTTTGATCTGGGAGACAAGTGCAAGGGCCCAGGAATGGCACCTTCCCAAGAATAACTCAATTTTCCTATATTCATAGCTCCCATGTTCATTCATCCGCTCACCAAATATTTATTGAGCATCTACTACACAGCAAGCACTGACATTCTGAGTGTTAGAAATCAAGAGGAAGACAAGACAGACATGCCTCTTCCTCCTCGGGCTTACAGTTTAGGAGACAGATGATAAACAATGAAAAAGATAATTTTGGATTATAACAAAGTGCAGTGAAGAAAATGAAACAATGCTATGGCATAGGAAGGCACCGAGCTGCTGTGGATGTGGAGACTGGAGAGGGTGGGAAGGCAACTCTAGCTGGGAAAGCCCTTTTGGCATAACAGGAAGGGTCTGGAGGGAGGGTAGCCTAATCAAAGTCCTAGAGGTGAGTAAGGGTTTGACACATTTCAGACCAGACGCAAATAGGACAATGGAATGGAACTCTAGGGGTGAAGAGGGGTGGGATGAGGTAGAACATCTGGGTGGGACAAGGAAGAAAGAAGATGTCTGGATCCTTCTGGAAAGAGGGAAGAAGACGACAGAGACCAGGGAAGACAGAAGAGAGTTCTTTCTTTGCTACTCTTTAAATGTGGCCAGGGCAAACCTTGGCACAAGCCTACAAGAGGCTTGCTCTCTGCAACATACCAGCCCCTGAGTTTTCTCTCTGCTGCACCCTGAGGCCTGGTTTGATACCTGTGTATCTTCAACCTTAAAGGAGAGGGGAGAAGAAAGGGCAGAAGGACTCAGGGAAGGCTCCCACTCCCACAGCTGAGAGCATTCTGGTTTTTTGTTTGTTTTTGTTTTGTTTTTTGTTTGTTTTTTTCGGGTTTCTCTGTGTAGCTCTGCAGTCTGTCCAGGCACTCACTCCGTAGACCAGGCTGGCCTCAAACTCACATAGATCCATTTGCCTCTGCCTCCCATGTGCTGGGATTAAAAGCGTGCACCACCACCACCCACTGAACATACTGACACCCTGTTTTCATAAAAGCGCTGTTAGAGGAAGGAGGAAAAGCACCATACTGGGTGCCTTCCATCTGTGTTCTCACCAAAGCAAGGAGGAATGAAAACTCCAAGATCATCTATCTGCCACTCGACCAAGGTAACATAGCTAACACTCCCAACACAGAAGCTGCCCCTTACCTATAGTCATTCCTGAGGCTCTGAGATCCCCGTCTATCGCTCAAAACGCCACATTGCCTGCACCATTCACACCCTTTCTGCTTAGCTTCTTCCCTGCATCTAGTTTTCTGTGCTTGTCGCATTTATGTCTGGGGACCATCGTGTCCTGCCCACTTTCATTTTGTACTGGTGATCCTGGGTAGGTGTCATACCCTGTCACTCCCCAGCAGTATCAGGCAGCCAAAGCCAGATCATCTCCCCCAGGACTGGCGTCCGGAGGGTAGGGACCACCTCTAGCCAAACTGGACCTGGGATAGAACTCTCACTTCAGATGTATTTAGACACTTTAAAGTGTCTTGTTTTGTTTGGGGGGCGGTTTTGAGACAGAGTTTCTCTATGTAGCTTTGGAGTCTATCCTGGCACTTGCTCTGGAAACCAGGCTGCCCTGGAACTCACAGAGATCCGCCTGCCTCTGCCTCCCGAATGCTGGGATTAAAGGCGTGAGCCACCAACGCCAGGCTAAAGTTCCTTTTCTTGTAATGGAGTCTGAGTATGTCAAGGTTTCCAGCCAGTGCATGAGGTCTGCACTCCAGCCCTACAGCGGAGCCCAGAGCCATTACCATTCTTCCTGGGTTCGTCCAGAAACTCTCACTGAGTCATCCTCTAAGTAGCCAACTCTTCTCCACTCTGCAGAGGGTTCCAGGGGGTGAGGAGGGGAAGGATGTGGAGCAAACACTCTCCCCACAGGTGATTCTGGGAAATGCCCGTAGGTAAGCCTATGGAGCACTGTGATGTGATGGAGGAAGAGTGGTCTCAAAGCCACTAGTTCACAGAGGTCTTTAAATAAGATTTCAGATGTTCTCTCCTAAAGAGGTTACGACTAAGCTCGCTGTCTGGTGTGTGCTTTAAGCGTTCGTTTGCTAAACGTAAACACTGGAAACACACTACAGCTTTCCACCTGTTATCAGCTTGCTTTCCAAATACCGGGAACGCCTCCCTCCCCCAGTGGAAGAAGACCGGTCTCTCTCAACCCTCTCAGAAGCTCTAATGTGTATCTCCTCAAAGTAAGGGCCAGTGAAGAAGAGCGGTGACTGGGGGGGAAGGCCGGCAGGAGGGGTTTAGAAGGCCAAGAGCTCGAGTTCAGTGAAACTCCCGATTCCAGGCCCTCTGAAAGAGTTCTGCCCTCTTCTGCCCACGGTCTCCACCCCAACTGCTCCAGGAGCAGCGAGAGCCAACCTGAAGAAGAGAAAACAGGCCCAGACTGGCAAACGAGGCTAAAAATGCAGCGCAACCGGCCAGCCTGCGATCTGGGGCTCAGGATTCACGTCCTCTCTCAAGGGCCAGGATCTTTGTTCAACACCAGACTCCAAGTCAGTGCCCGGCTGGACCTCCCCGGATCGCTCCCGCCGCCCCCTGCAAAGTCAGCGCGGTGAAAACGCCT